AGTCTACAGAAGGCAGAAATAAAATCTGGGGAAAGGAGAAGTGTGATGTTGATGGCAAATGCACCTCCTGAAATGAGCCCTTGAATGACTCCTGTGGTAAACAAACTGCCTGAAAGATTCATCCGTGCATTGGATTTATAATTCCAACCCCCAAAATATTTTGGCTATATTACAAGAAGTTATAATCCTGTTGAAAAGAAGCACTTGATGTTCTGAGCCTTAAACAAATGCTGCCACAAAAGATACACTAGAAAATGATAGATTGGTAAAAATCACTACAGTTGGCAAGACCTACAGCTTTGCTGTTCTGTTAGCATTATATTTTTGCAAGGCAGTGTCACTAACATTCTTTTGTTTCACTGGACCCAACTGACTGATCCTCCGTTAGCATGGCAACCAACATTTTATATTTATCAAAATGTGCCTCATAAATGAGATAGCTACAGTTCCTCTTGTATGAAAACATCTTCTTGCTAGAAGTTAATGAAAATGCTCTTCCAATATTATTCAAAATGCTTCCTTCTATTAGGCACTTATCAAAAATGTAAATGAGTGCTAATAAACAGAGAGGTGACACTATTTTCACACAAGAGTGTAATGGGTTAACATCTGGTTTTATTAGGAGAGATACATCCACAGATTGCCTGTAGAATATAGCATGTATACATAGAATAATTTTAATAGAAAATGAGTTCTGTAGCTTCTGTACTCTAATAGAAAATGAAATGTCAATAGTAGAGTTTGCTTAATGAGATATTTACACACTCCAGTTATTTTAGCACCTACACATTTATCCGCAAGGATAAATTTATCCAAAGGTTAGATTTGGATAGTTTACACAAAGTTACATAGGCAAAACATCCAGATTTCCCATAATTAAACTCTGCCCTCCAGAGCAAACAGCCTCCTGTAAAGGAAGATCAGCTAGACATTACAATGATAGGTGCCTTTGATATATCTAAGAAAGATGGGTAGCTCCCAGGGCCTCATCCCGATCCTTATTCAGGCAAACATCAGCACGGGACTTAGTTTCAGCACTAAGTTATAACAGACAAGCTTCATCTAATACCAGCAAAACCCTGTTATGGCTACAGGATAGGACCCTAGCCTTTTCTCTTACTTTTGTTTTCTTGCTCAGATTCTCAAACACCATAGATTGTCTCAAAAGACCATTACAAGATAAATATGCCAGTCTTAAATTCAGCTCCATCCACGCTCATTATTTTTGTTTTTAGTAGCCACTGTCCTTTAAAAAAAACCAAAAAACCTCCAGAAAGAAGGCTTTCAGTTCCTTTGTACCTTTTCCTTCAAAGAATCTAACACTGACAGGTGAAATCCATGGGGGTCATAGGCACGCCCAATTTTGCCCTTCATTTTGAATATGACAAAGTGAAAATATGAGGCTGATCAACCTATATGATCAGCATGTAAAACCATTCTCCACAAGAGCCAACCTATGAAGTATGTGTTGGAGGGGACCCATAGTGGAAGCAACATGGTACAGTTGGATAAAGCACTAGCCTTTCGCCTCCTCAACCAGTTGTTTAAATACTCTCGTGAGTGACAAAATGGATTCTGAATGCCTTATGAACAGGGATCCTGGTTTTCTCTGATTTAAAAAAATCCCCAATTTTTGGTTAAAAAAAAGTAACCCCAATTCCACATATTTCCATGATTTAAAATGAAACACCACTATACATTATATACATCTATATATTAGTGGTATTTCATTTAAATCATGAAAAAATGTGGTTTTGGGGTTACACTTTTTTAAACCAAAAATTGGGGATTTTTTTTTAAATCAGAGAAAATCTGGATCCCTGCTTATGAAGCACCTGAGGAGATTTGTCTCCATCACCTGAATACTCTCCAGTTCGGCAGCATCTTTTCAGGCCTGGAGGTGTGAAAGTGGTGCAACAGGTCAGGATTTGAATACATTAACTAAACAGCAAGGGAAAACCTATGCAACATCTGCCTGATATTAAAGCCTGTGCTCTTAAGGACCATATTTCTTTTCAGTATGAGAGTTAAACAAACAGACTTGACTTGTACTAGACCTGAAAGGAGACTATGGAAGCAGCTGGAAAAGGCTTCATTATAGCACATATCAAGACAAAGCGAGCAAGAAAAAAGAAAGCCTTTACAATATAATTCTCCTCAGAAAAGAACATATAATGACTTTATTTACTGTCAGAGATACGTTATATCTGCTGATGTTATTTAGGAGTCAAATCAGATTTGTGATTATTTACCATATGTCCGCTTTATCAGTTGTAAGGTTTTAAATGATTACAGAACAAGAAGATTTGATTTAGAGACGAAACTTTGGCATTGTAACCATGTTTTGCATCAAAAGATGGTTTATAAATCTATTTTAAAACCTGTAGGTCCACTGAGGCAGATGAAAGACAGACTATCCTTACCTCCGACTGAAAGTGATTGCTATTATACAACATCAACATTAATGGTGTCAGTTCCCTAGTGCTCATTAAGAAATGCTATTTCTAGACAAATCAAGGAAGGCTAATGAATTCAAACTCTTCTTTGTCGCAAACAAATGGACAGATAGGCAAACAGATATACCGGCATAAATTCTTTCTAGGTACATTAACTTTCTGTCAAATACAATTTCAAACTGGCAAGATAGGAAAGCATGAAAATGGGAGGTAATTGCTCTGCACAGCAAAAAATAACAAGGCAATTAAACATTTTCAGTGGGCTGCGTACAAAAAGAAAAGTAACTAATACACCTACTGTAGTAGATCATAATTATCCCTGCAACACTGGGCCTTTTCAAACTTTATTTTGTTTACTTTCCTGAAGTGCTTTTTCCAATTTTTACCAGAAATAATTTCTTATTTACATAGTGCCAAAGGTGCGCTAAGAACTTCACAGAGTACCTCCATATTTCTTCAAAGCTAAGCCATGTTGAAGGGGAACTTTGAAGAAGGAACTCCTTACATTTTTTGGGTTTTAATAATTTTACTTAGATCTTCAAATATTTGGGAGACTTATCCATTCAACTGTTGGCTCAAGAACTTTCTGCAGTTTCGTGTGTGCTGGAGACCAGTTTTCTGTACAGATCTTGTCTATGACATTGGCTGATCTATGACAGTGGTTCTCAAGCAGGGTTTTGCAACACCCTGGGATGCAAGATCCTATGAAAGGGGGCAAATGCTAGCTCCTTCACATGTCTGAGACCCTGTGCCTGCCCCAGCATCCCAGCAGCACTCCCTGCATCCTCTCCACCAGATCTGGGAATATGGAAGGAGCAGGAGAAGCAGCTGTGCTAAAATGTCCCCTGGCAGCCCTTGTGACAACCATCTCAGTGCTCAGAATGGCTTGCTCTGCTGCACGTAGATGGGAGGTGGACACTGGCACATGCTTTTTCAGCCCAGCCTCTTCTCCCACTCCTCTCATACTCCTGGAGCTGATGAGAGAGGCTACAGGGAATGGCCCAGCATTCTGGGTCCTGGAGAAGCAGAGACCTCAGCAGCTTCAGCAACAGGGGATGCAGTCAACCCCCTCAGGGAAAGACTGGGGGGGGTGGGAATTGTAGAAAGAGAAGGACTTGGAAGGGGTCTGCTCCTGCCACCCTCCCTTAGTACCAGCTTCTGTACCAGTGGGCACTGTCACCTTTTGCCCTCCTCTGCAGGGACAGC